AGAGAAAGAAAGAGAGAGAGAGAGAGTGAGAGAGAGAGAAGGAGAGAGAGAATATGGCCCGGGTTGAAATTAATTATTCGTTAAATTATGAAACCCCGCTGCTGAGGATCATTCATTTGCCACGTGATTGAAATGTGATGCTGCATGTGATTGAAATGTGATGCTGCATTTAAAAAAAAAGTCAAAGTACCAGAGTGCCGTTTATTGTCATAAAATATTGTTCAATGTAGAGACGATGGACAAATATGAATACTAACGCAACCTTGACAATGACAATTTCTCCCTCTCTCTCTCTCTCTGCTAAATAATTAAAAAAACGATAGAATCAACCAGGCAAGTGTAATCAACTGTCAAACGAATTTGTCATGATTCCTTCATTTTTTTTTTATTTGTTACTGCACGTCGTAAAATGTTGACACTAGGGACTTTTAGATTTGCACGTCTACAGCTTTGACTGCAACGTGTGACGTCATTTTAAGGCACTGCGCATGCGTTATGTCGTCTCAGTCGGCGATCGAGAATGCGTCAACCAGGAAGCTGTAATGAATGGAGATCCCGTCCAAGAGGCCCCTTTGAAGCCATCCGTGGCACCGCGTGTCTTTTGTTTCCCCTACCGTAATCCCCTTAATCCCCCTCCGAAACCGTACAGCTCCCTAGTAGCACTAGGTCCTCCCTTTCCACACACATCCCAGCCCAGCGAGCACGGCGGCTTTTGCTTTGTGGGCCCGTATTTGGGGTGAATAGTGGTGATAACTTGACAACTTCTAGCCCTCAATCAATAAATGCGCAAACATATAACACAATTTCATTTAGTTCTTTAGGAAGATAAACCTTTAGACTACCTTCCTAGCTATGTACAAATTTCGGAAATTTTCGGAAAATGTCAATAATTAGATGAGAAAATCATGATGATGAAAACCTTTCATTCGCTCTAACTTACGATTTCCTTGGTCGATTTCGCTGGTTGAAATGGCCATGCATTCAGTAGAGCTATCCGAGAACAGAAAAAGCATTTGATGACTAATATAAAGTTGCATTGGTCTTATGCTGTTAATTCTGTATTTTATATGTTATAGCTAAATACATCTTCACTGAACCTGACTTAATTTTTCGGTGCCACGCATGGCTTCAAAGCTCGATGCTTGCATATATTTGCAAAAGAGTGAATAGAGAACTTAGGGAAGCAGATGACGTTGCGTAACATTCGTACTATTTGGAATTCCAGAGAGGGACTGTGCATTGATATGGACATCTGTTGATGGAAATGATGGTTGGAGAGGGTTACATTTCTTTTTGTTAAGCCAGGTTAATCTTGAATATTTTTCCCTCGGAGAATTCTTTCGAGACGGTATCTCCATTCATTACAGCTTCCTGCGTCAACCTTGATTTTCCTAAATCTAGTACATACATACATATTGGTATTTATATAGCGCCTTTACATGCTCAAGTTACTAGTATGCCGCATGCGCATAAAATATACAGTTCCTCAGGTAGACAAAGGAACATCCCTTCCCTGCTATTATGTGAAAATGTGTAGAACAGGTGTCACATGCATATTCACCTGTTCTACACATTTTCACATAATAGCAGTGAAGGGATGTTCTTTTGTTGAGGGTAGAATGAGGAACTGTATATTTTGTCCTCTTCCTTTGTCCGTGATGATCATAGTGTTACTTCCTGCATGCATGTGTATCGTCGAGTGCAATCTAAAAGATTTCTAATTGTAGTCAACGTGGGCAGTTAAGTACGATGACACGCATGATTAGTCGGCGTTCGTCGTGTTCTCGTCCAGTCATTCTAAAAGTCCCTATTGATCGGTACCATAATACATTCATGCACCTGACTCTGTCAAACGTATCATAATGACATTCCAATCATGCTTCCAAGCTTTAATCTCATCACGACCGCCGCCAGTCAGCCATAAAAAACAGAACTGTGCCTGGTAGAGTCTACAAAATGCCTGCGCAAACGAACCTGAATCGCTTAAAATCACGAAAATGCATGTGCAGTCGTGGCGTACAAATGAACATTGACGCTTATGAAGTTTTCAATAGAAACTTAGATATACAGCCTTTTCACACACAGCTAAAATTCATCGTATCTAGAGATGATTAGATTAAACGTGTTTAACTCAACAGTTTTAAACATGTTTAAAGAAAAATTTCCCTGTGTGAACATCGTTTATTCCGATGTTCGGATAGATACGAAGTCGCGATTCATACGCCCCTCAAAGCAGGCTGCAGATATAAAGTTCGTATTTAGAGAGCTTGACATTTTGTGTGTGAACGGTTATTCGTGTTTAAACGTGTTTAAACTGGATGGAGCGTGCGCTTTGTTTGATATGACATGACCTTCAATGCACAATGGCACTACTGCGCATTTTAACGAAACGATTAACGATCGCATCGAAATTTCTGTGTGTGAATGATGTCGTAGGTACAGCTGATTAGTTTAAAGCCCTTTAAACTAATTATGTTTATAAAATTTTAGCTGTGTGTGAAAAGGCTGATAGATTACAAGAGAAACCTGTAAATTTGGCTGTGACACAATTACTTTAAACTTCATTTTAAAACTTATCCTACCCATTTCCAAGGAATAAAAGATAATAGGACAGTAAAGAATATGTATTTTTCAAAGTTTGGCAAGTCCAGATGTATGTCCACCAGTGTCCACTTCTTTAATAATCAATCTAATATCACACAAATAGTCATAATTTTAGGGTCACTGCTCCTCTAACTGGTCACGATACTTTTCCTGACACTACACTCTGGGCCCTGGCCCAGCGAAAAGAATCTGAAGAAATGAAAAAGTTGTTTTGTCTGTGATGATGCGTGATTACATAATCAAATGATTGTCGCGCCGAATGAATGTGCTCATCAACATATACATTATCAGGTGGCGGTGGTCATGAAGTGATCAGAGAAAGACTCTCATTATTATTCCATCTGTAGTAGGGTCCATGGTTACTGCATGTCATAGACGTATTAAAGACTAGCAATGGCGAACAATTGTCGCTAAAGTTTAAAAATTGTTACTTAAGCTATGGTCACAAATCAGAGCAGCGACCGACCAATTAGTAGCATGCCCGGTCGCCGCTAGATTTTAGGCATCGCCCAACGATTTTTTTGGAGAAGTCGAGAAGGCTGTAGAGCCTGTCGATTTCCCGTCGGTCGCCTGTCAATTTAATCGGAGAGCTTCTCCGTGCGGCGTGCCGGCAGTGACCGACCGATGACCCACAGATACCCGAGCGGTCTACCCCCGGCCACCGGCTAATTTTAAGGAAAGTGCCCGCAAGCGGGCCGGTGATCGGCGGGGCGCCAAAATACGCTCGGTGACCGGGCGTTCGCCGCCCGGACACCGACCTAATCGAACGTTCGCTGTCGAGCGATTTAGCTGACCGCTGACCGATTTGAACTCGCCGTCCAGTGACCGACTGATCTCCCAGCGGCGACGGGCGGCGAACGCTCAGCAGCCTTTGACCTATCGGCTTCGATTTTTGACCTAAATCGCTCGACGGCGAACACTCGATTAGGTCGGTGCCCGGACGCGTCATTTTTTTTCCGCGGCACAGATTGGGGCTTAATCTTTGAAAAAGGTCTTGATTTAACCCTAACCCTAATCCTAACCCTAACCCTAACCCTAACCCTAAACTCTCCAATAGGCTCAGCACGCACCTAACCCCAATCTGTGCCGCAGAAAGAAAATAACGCTGCCCGGACGGCTACCGCCCGGGCACCGAGCATACTTTGAGTGAAAGTGAGCAGGCGCCGCCCGAACTTAACTTCAGCAGCTACCGAGCGATGCCAGTAAAACAAGCGGTGCCCGAGCGGCCGTGATGTGACCATAGCTTTAGATTGCTTTACTCTCAAAATTGGTTCTAGGACAATTACCCCCTGGGCAATCACCCCCCCCCCCCCTGAAAATTACCCCCCGGAAAACTACCCCCAAAGGACAATTACCCCCTGGATTATTACCCCCAGGAGAATTACCCCCCGAGGACAACTACCCCCCCCCCCCCCCCCCCCAAGGACAACTACCCCCCGGAGAATTAAAGTAGCGTAAATCTGTCTTTAAACTACCTTCCCCATTTCCTCTCACCCCCTGTCTTTTCTCTCTTTCTGTTTTGTTCTGTGTCTACATTTACATTGGGGGATCTGCTTTCACGCACATGAGTATTATCTACGCGTCACTGATTTTTATTTTTATTTTTTAAAAGACCAAATTTCACAGGTTAACAATTCTTCCCAAACTTTCTACCTCTTGATTACACATTTGTTTCCATACAAATAATAGCTGAAATCTAAATTGTTCGTATTGTTAAATGACATCCTCTTTCACCTTGTGATACAATTGAAGTGAAATTTTGCCATCCAATTTTTGGGGTCCCAACACTTTAGAGGGGACCACTAAGGAGTGGCTGCTTCACAGTACTTTAAAAATCTAAAACGATTTTTTTTTTTTTTTTTTCTCGACATACGCGAGAAGAGAAGAAGAAGATTCTCTATAAAGGCCCCCTTTTTTTCGACGATAGTTTTGGGGGATCGCGCGATAAATGGAGACACTGCGCTCTGTGTGCGATGCGTGTAGGAGGACATAGATAATTGAAGAATAAAAAAATATACAAAGACGGACAGAATCTGGAATAGGTTGGGCTCTGCTCAAGACTCTGTGGAATTGTGTTTACCTGTCTAATTAAAGTCTGTGTCTACAGACTATGAAGGTGCAGTAGGTGTATGTGAAGTGAGGGTTTTTGTCTTTACTTGTCTCTCTGTCACCTGGAAGAAGTGATCTCTTATACAAGGAGGACATGCATGTTTCAGTCTGATGGTCAGCTAATTCTACTGGTTATGTCCGTAAAAGATCCAGCAGAGGCTGAATCTGGTATTCTTAAATCGTCGGATTCCTTCTGTTAATACCATCAGAGGCTACGTCATCTTCTTTTTGTGTTGACTTGATTTGTGTACTGTTTGTCTGATTATTTATTTTCCTTCACAGTTAACATTACCAGAATGAATCAACATACTAGTATCGGTGCGATACAACCGGACCAAAGGATCACCTTGTCATGGAGCAACATCAACGTGACCTTTACACCAAGCGCCGGGCTGTTGGACAAGGTGAGAGGGCGCCCTCCGCCTACATCAACACGTATATTGAAAGAGGGTAAGTGATAAAGTGCGAAAGTTTTATAATTTTAGAAAGTAATTCTGTCAAAGTTATATTAAGCACTTGTTTTGCTTCTTCTTGTGACTTGACTTCGCAAAATCATTTGATGGGTTTAGAACAAATAATTGTACCTATTAGTTTTGAAACCCTCTCTCATTTCCATTTGTTCCTTTTTGATAGTTTCTGGTGTTGCAAAACCTGGAAGGCTCATGGCATTGATGGGTGCAAGGTAAGTTTTACAGAACGACTTATTTTCCCTCTTGCCCCCTACTTCGGCATTGTGAGGGGGTGTGTGTGTGGGTGGCGGGTTGTGTGCGAGGGTCAATATCTTGTGTGTACACGAATATGGGAAAAGGTGTTGGTGTGTAGCCTATGTATGGGGGTCAAGGGTATGTAATGCTATATCTCTTGCTAATTTAGCGTTATTTCCATTGCATCATTCCTAACGTTGTTATCTATAGAGACAGTTCTTACATTCACCCGAAAGTTAAACGCAGGGTTTATACTCTTCATTTTGTATTCACTTTTTGTAGGATGTACATTTCAAATCTCAAATAATGCGCAAAAGATTGACGCAGCCATGCGTCATCAAGTTAGACCTCGTGTGCGCCAGTCATCATGTCTGTAGCACGTTGGATCTGCGTAAATATGCATGAAGTCACAGGTTACATGTTAATATAATGTAAAAACAATGACCATTGGGAGCATATAAAAACTAGACACAATATTTGTATATTTCTAAAAACAAGAAAATGTGATTTTGTAAGCGTATCCTCCAATAAACGTCCAATTATATTTTGATCCAGTGGCGCAGGAAAAACGACCTTGCTGAACGTACTGACCAATCGTGGTATCTCTGGCTTGGAGGCGACAGGGAATGTACTCCTCAACGGGCAACGCATGAGTGAGTTGGGCCCAACATTGAACGAATTGATCGGCTATGTTCAGCAACACGATATTCTCCCGCCAACCCTGACTGTCAGAGAGTATCTCATGTTTACGGTACGTGGTGTGAACTTATATAACAATGCTCTTGGGGATTCAATTTCAATTTCAATTTCAATTTATTCATGTTTCCAACAAAACATTATAAATCAATTATAAGCATTTAAAAACAATGTAGAAATATATGTTGGAAACAGAGGGGTCCACTAAAAAGCAATGCATGTACAAGTGTGAACACCTCAAATGATACTTAGAAATAATGAGTAATTAAATGAACAAGTCCGTAACTACGAAAGGAACTACACAATAAGGGAAAAGGGGGATGTCAACAGAGACGAGAAAGGGACAAGACAATGCTTTTATAAATGACAACGATAGAAGAACACGGTCATAATACCACGTGTGCTCATTAGACCAGGAGGATAATGGTATTTCCATAGGCCGACAGGCATGCATGCATACTTCTTTCCTAAAGAATTAATACAGTAGGCAGGGGCGGCTGAGCGACTTCCAAAGTGGGAGTCACAAACAAAAATGGACACTTTCTGGAAGAAAAACAAATGCAACTAAAGGGAAATCCCAAATCGAAACCATCATACTTTGCAGTTGGATGTGGTGGTCAGGAAATTCATTTGCGAGCGAGGAAAAATATTAAGATTTGTGAGTACGGCGAAAAAATACATCTTATATAGAGGAAAACCCTAATCCAGATGGGGTTATAAGCACATTCTCTTAACGGAAGATTGAAAAGACCTTTGATAAGTATGAAAATAAAGTAAATATAAGTATGAATACGAGCGAGTATAGCGAGTGAGCGTCGGTGGAAATTGCTCTTAGTCGCTTTCTATGAGAAGAGGAAGGGGCTCTTTTTGTGAATGGGGGCAACTTAACATAGGGAAAAGTGGCAATTATTAGGAAAGTAAAAGGGCACATGTAAAAATGTAAGGTGCGTTAATACGAGTTACAAAGGGGAAGTTGTTAAAAGGAACGGGCACTTCTAACAAAGGAAAAGGGGCACTTGTCAAAGTAAAAGGGACACCTCTCAGATTTGAATAGGGCAATTATCAGAGGTGAAGGGGGCACTTATCAAAAGTGAAAAGGGGTACTTCTCGTACCCGAAAAGGGGCAATTTCTAGAGTTTAAAAAAGGGCACTTATGAGAATGGAAAGTTGACACCTATTGCAAAGAAAAAAAGGAACTTGTCGAAGGAAATGGGGCACTTATCAGAGGTGAAAAGGGGAAGGAGCACTTAACAAATTAATAGGGACACTTGTCAAAGTTTAAAGGACACTTTTTCTATGTAAAAATGGGCACTTTAGGGGTACTTGAAAATGTGGGGGCGCTGTGCCCCCTCCCCCCCCCTCAATAGGTTTGATGTTACTTATCGAGACAATTCATTACATGTACAACCGAGAAGCATTATTTGGTAGTTGCAATACAGATGAGGTGTTTTGAGACAAATAGCTCTGTATGTTGCAGTTGCTAGATTCATGCACTTATCATTATTAATTTTTATTTTTTAAAGTATTTGTATACGAAAATATCGCATCATCGCTGTAAGTACTTGATGTGTCCTATTTTTTTTTAATATTTAGTCGTTTTATATGTTGTATATTAAATAATGATATCTTTATGAATCAAAATTGTAATGGAATATGAAAATGAGATTTCCTTCTTTGTTTCAATACTGATTTTCCATCTCAAAACTTTATTTGTAATTTAGTGAACGAATACACTCATTTGTTAAATTATCTAAATACGTCAGGAAATACATAGCTAGATACTAGAAGTTTTCTATGGAATAAATCGATTACAACGATCGTTGCAATACATATGTGACGATAACCATCCATACAGTAAGACCGGAATAAGCCTCAAGATCCTGATAAAATATCTGATATCTGTCTCCTTGTGTACAGGGTACGATGACCATGTACAAGCGACTCACATCTAACGAGATCTACGACAAGGTGGACGAACTACTCACACAGGTTAGAGGGGGAAAATCAATCACTGATTCGACTGTCGAGACATTGGCGGATTCAGGGGCACAATCAGCCCGTCCCCCGTCCACCCTACATCCTCAAAGAATTTCACGTCACCCTTACCCACCTATAGAATATCACACCAATAAAACATAAGGGTATATACTTGACGTTGTCGATCAAAGAACACGACACGGCTCTAATCCTTTGGCAATATTAATATCCTTTGGCAAGATATTAACATGCACTTGCTACTCTCTACATCTTTAAAACTTTTACCCTTGCGGGATTTTTTAAGTTCACGAGAGATGATTATGGAAGCAGGAGCCTGTCAAAAAATAACTTCAATATCCGTGTGATGCGAATTGCAACGTGTCAACAATTTGAATTACGCACGGTGTAAATAATAGCCCGGGGGGGTCGAAATTAACTCTAAGTTGGACCTAAACATTATGGAGAGCCATGTGTAGCCTTAAAATAAAATATATTCAAAAGCAAAAATTCAAGTATTTTAGACTTTGCATAAGTTCAAAATCAAGAACATGATATCTCCTTGATGATCGAAAATATGATTGATTTAAAACCACATTTTATGCCTTTTAAAAGAACTTATAACTACTAAGATCTACTAACGGCATTCCATTATTGTCTAACTTAGAGATAATTTCAACTTAAAAATCTTTGTGAAACACCCCCCAGGTTACTAACATATTCAAATTGTGTGCATACTTCTTAAGCAAGGCATTTCATCCACTTTGCTCCTCTCCACCCAGGTGTTAATTGGGTACCCGGTATAGAATGCAAACGTTGTTGTGATTGAATAAGCATGTGCACGCCCGTAAAGAGGCGACTAGCTTGTTGGATGTTTCCCAGGGAGTGGAGAATGTTAATTGTGATATGCGGAATAGCAATTGAATCCATTGAAGTAGGAAAAGCTAATTCTGTAAACTGTTTTGTGTTAATTGTAAAGCGTATTGTAAGGAACGAGTGATTTGTATTATTATCATTAGTTGGAGTAGTAGTAGTAGTAGTAGTAGCAGTCGTATTAGTAGTAGAAGTAGTAGAAGTAGTAGTAGAAATAGTAGTAGTAGTAGTAGTAGTAGCAGTAGTAGTAGTAGTAGTCGTATTAGTAGTAGAAATAGTAGAAGTAGTAGTAGAAATAGTAGTAGTAGTAGTAGTAGTAGTAGTAGTGGTAGTAGTAGTAGTAGTAGTAGTAGTAGTAGTGGTAGTAGTAGTAGTAGTAGTAGTAGTAGTAGTAGTAGTAGTAGTAATAGTAGTAGTAGTAGTAGTAGTAGTAAAAGTAGTAAAAGTAGTAGAAGTAGTAGTAGTAGTAGTAGTAGTAGTAGTCGTATTAGTAGTAGAAGTAGTAAAAGTAGTAGTAGAAATAGTAGTAGTAGTAGTAGTAGTGGTAGTAGTAGTAGTAGTAGTAGTAGTAGTAGTAGTAGTAGTAGTAGTAGTAGAAGTAGTAGTAGTAATAGTAGAAGTAGTAGTGGTAGTAGTGGAAGTAGTAGTAGTAGTAGTAGTAGTAGTAGATGTAGTAGTAGTAGTAGTAGTATTAGTAGTATCATCATCGTCATTTGTTTGTATCATTAGTATTATCATTGTCTTTAACATCATCATCATCGTTGTCTCAATCATTCACTCTCTCAGTTTTCCATGCTAGATTGTGCAGACAGTCTGATTGATGTCGGTACGTCACGTATATCCGGGAGTGAACGTAAACGGCTGTCTGTGGCCTGCAAGGTCAGTGGTTCAAATCTCTTCGATTGGATGTAATGTATAATCATCGTCATCTCATATATCAACAGTGTAATTAGGAAATTACACTAAGCAATCATCAAAGTGTAATAATAATTTTGGGGCAGTTATAAAAAGTTATTTGTTCCATACGTTACGGACTTCATCACGATCACATGTATAACGTTCAAGCTACAATAGCCCTATTTTAGTTTAGCTCAGACGAGTCACGAAGGATAATGCTAATGCAAAGGATATCGCAAATAGCTCCATCTTTCTGCCAAGTGCCAATACCGTTTTCCTTTAAAATGTTAGTTTTAAAGTGTACTAATCACTTTTAAAATTAGTTAGTGTACGGCTAGAATTTATAGATCAACATTTAAAAATAACCTCCCATTCTATAGGCCTGCAGATATTAAAGTCCGGCACTAGTTTGGCAAAGGGGGATTAGACCTCCCTGCAAGGTCAGTGACAGGTGGTTATCTCATCAAATCAGCTCTCAATAAGAAAGAAAAAAAACATAAGACAGGGGATCATGGGGGACCAACAGACACCGATTATGCATTGTTTGCTATATAGAGGGCGTAAGTCTATAAGTAGTGCAGTGGGGCTTTAATTGGTATGGATAAAATAAAGAATATCATAAAACTGCTCACCCAGAACCCAATTTGGACTATATTCGTTGTGACGGGACTTACCAATCCTGTGTCAGTTAACACTCGCCATACACACGCTATAATTTCTATCAAACGACATAATCTTAAGAGTGTGACACCTGTAAGATCGCAGGCATGTCTTCCTTAACCCGTTGCAATAACGCACGATCACAGGCTTTTCACTCATTCTCTTTGTCAGTTATTCGGTGAGCGACGTTTGTTACCTGTAAGATCGCACGAATGTCTCCGTTAACCCGTTGCAAAGTGTTTATAGATCTTTCACTCATTCTCTCTGTCAGTTATTCGGTGAGCGACGTCTGTTGTTTCTCGACGAGCCCACCACGGGTCTCGACTCGTTCGTCGCCCAACATCTCATCAGGAACCTACGATCCCTGGCCGATCTCGGCTACAACATAGTTTGCACGATTCATCAGCCCTCGTCTCAGGTCTTCAATATGTTTGACCAGTGAGTTTTTAAGAAAATACAGACTTTAATTTGATACTTTACCTCAATAAGCCTTGAATAGAGCCTAGATCTGTCAGTTTCTGGCTGTGTCAAACAACAGCAGCCTAAGTACAGAGCGTCTTGTAGATTCATTTTGCGGACCCTTTACAACCTATGGATCCACATTGTGAAATTGGTCTAATTAAAAAGAAGTTCATACGTTACTAAACAATGCTTTTGATAACAAAATTGAATTCTCACTATAATCATGATAATAATGCGTCAAATATTTTGCTAGCTCACTTCGCTTAATTTTGAAAGTCAATCTGGAAATTGTACAATAAAAAATTTAATGTGTTCATACAATAATGATGATAAGCTATTATCATCATAGGCTGGATATTGATAATTTGGCCGACATCCATTTGTTCATTAAAATATATATGTTGTGTTCTTTGAAGTGAATGTCTGTTCTTCAATATATCTTGTTCTTCGAAGTGAATTTCTGTTCTTCAATATACCTTTTGTCTTTGTATCGATGTATATAGGCTCTTCCTTTTGGCGGACGGACGATGTGTGTATTTCGGTGAACGAACAAAAGCTGTCCCCTATTTCTCTATGTTGGGATATACGTGCCCGGACACATTTTCTCCGGCGGACTATTTGATAGACCTCCTGGCCATTAGACCAGGGATTGATGCTGCTTGCTTAGATAGGGTCGTGGTAAGGAAGCAAATGAGAAAAATCTCTCGTCCTGTTATCTATACACACTATATACGGGAGGGCGTGGCTGGAGGGAATGTGTGTTTTTTTTAATCGGTTTTCATTTCTAAATCCTTGCCGGCAAGGCAATTTTTCATGGTTTCTTGCTTGCTTTGGCGAAATAATTCTTTTAGTTATATACTTTTTTCTGTCAATTTCAAAAATCTGATGACACTTTTTTTTTGTTAGGGGTAGAGGTTTTATTTGCTTGTAATTTGTGGCCATCTTATCACCGCTGTTAGTCAGACACCCGGCCTCCCCTATTCGAAATCAAGTCAATACAAGAATGTTATCCATATTGGATTGGTTCCTAAAGTATTGAGTATTTATTAATCATTTGTCAACAGATTTCAATAGTTCAATAGTCATATTGGGCAGCAAGCGCAGCACCCCAGCAAAATAATACAATTTTTGTCTGATTACTCTTTCCCCTTTTGTTTTGCAGCTTATAGCAAATGCCTTTGGCGAGAGTGAAATGGCACGGACTATAGAGGGTGTCTTGCAAGATGAGTGTGGACGTGGCGGGAAGAATAATGAGGTAAGATGATCAAAATGAATGACATGAAAAATTGTTCTAGGTAATAATGATACTAGATATTTTAATAATTATGAAATAATAACCAGGATTTGATTAGCGCCTAATCCATCTACGATGTCTCTATAGGCGCTTTGCAGATGTATCATTACCCCTGTCATCATATTATTTATCACTCATTCTCTCTCATTCTCTCTCTCTCTATCTATCTCTCTCTCTCTCTCTCTCTTTCTCTCTCTTTCTCTCTTTCTCTTTTTCTCTCTTTCTCTCTTTCTCTCTTTCTCTCTTTTTCTCTCTATCCCACTGCTTCTCTCACTCTCTCATTCTTTCCTAATTGTTAACTTATACTTTTGCTAATGTGGATGGTATAGTTGTTCAAACTATGACTCACAGATATAGGCGATTTAATCTACACAACCATTATTATATCACATACTTTCGCATACATAAGTGTACAAACTATTTCATTTTGTTTCATTTCATTTCAAATGCAGAGCCTTCACTTAGAAAGCAGTGTCTCCAAAAGGTAAGAAAACATATTCAAGTCTTCTCTTTATCATTTTCAGCATGATGTTGAAAACTGGACATCCAATCACCATGTAAAGATACTGCCAAAAATCACTCTGATTGGTTGATTATCTAGCAAGTAGGAAGGATTGTGTGATGCAGAGTTTCGAAATCATCAGAATTTTCACAAATTGATCCAGCCTTGGTGAAGATCGCAGTATTAAAAATCACCTCTCTAGGCCTACATGAAACAGATGTATCAAAATCCTGTCCAAGCTGTACATTGTGTTTCGTATACTTCTGTGCTAAAGTCCAACCTGTTTTAATGACCACCTGTCTACAACGACCTCACTTTTTTGTTTCCCTTGAAAATGGTTTTTCATTGAAACAAGTACTAAAGGAATCTGTCTACAAAGACCACCTGTAGAAGGCCACTTTGTGTGTTTCCCTTGGACGGTCACTATAGACAGGTTTGACCGGTTATAGCCTAAACTTTAATCTTTTATTATTTATCACCTTCTAGCAAACAGGCACCTTGGATGTCTCAGTTTATCTACCTCTTCTGGAGGTGTTCCGTTGGGCTCTGGCGTTATCCGATTCTTATTCTCCTCCGTTTCTTGCTCATCACAGTAAGTTGATAATGATAATAATAATAATGATAATAATAATAACAATAATAATAATAATAATAATAATAATAATAATAATAACAATAATAGTAATAATAATAATCCGCTCATATAGCGCTTAATACAAATGTCTCAAAGCGCTTTACATATATACTATTACCCCGGTCATTGGATTCAGTGCTTGCCCACACACACTCTGTGTACAATCTCCACTCCCTGGGGAGAATTCCAATCTGGCGTTACTTGACGCTCAAAAACTGTTTGGCCAATATTGGCGGTCGCATCCTACCGGGTACCCATTGAACACCTGGGTGGAGTAGCAAGTGCATGTTAATATTTTGCCAAAGGATATTAATATTGCCAAAGGATTAGTGCCGTGTCGTGTTCTTTGATCGACAACGTCAAGTATATACCCTTATGTTTTATTGGTGTGATATTCTATAGGTGGGTAAGGGTGACGTGAAATTCTATGAGTGGGTCACCTAGGGTTTCATTCAACGATTTTATCATTATATGATCATTATATGAAGCACCATTTAGGGGTTTACATGTCAACGAAGGGTCTCTTGAACATAGCATACCGTGATGTATAGGTGTATAGTATGATACTCAAGTACACTTGTTTGGGTAATCGATAGCGTCAATCGACCTTTTGTGAAAATGTGCTATTTCTTTGCAAATTGGGGGTAATAATAATTAGATATTTTGCGAAGATCATCCTTGATGTGACATTCGACTTTTGTATATGTATATTCGTGAAAAATCACCCCGAAGTATATGAGAAAGTCAGAATAGTTTCCATGTGTGAAGCGTACGAGGGGGGTGGTCCTACCGATCGCGATGTCCCTCCATCCAAGATTACAACTTCTCTCTTTTTATATAATGACGACAATGCTTATAAAGATAGTGATGCTATTTCTGATAATGATAATAATTACAGTAATGATGATATTAGTTAATAATAATAACCATAATGATAAGTTAACAATGATAAGAATAATATGTTATGGGTTGTTTCATATATACCTCTTAAAAATAACAGTTGGACCATTCCCCTCCCCTTATCTCTCATCTTCGCCTCTCCCATTTTCCATTGCTCTCTCTCTCTCTCTCTCTCTCTCTCTCTCTCTCTCTCTCTCTCTCTCTCTCTCTCTCTCTCTCTCTCTCTCTCTCTCTCTCTCTCTCTCTCTCTCTCTCTCCATCCCCCTCCATTTCCTCTCTCGCTGTCTTCCCCTTCCCCTTTCCGTCACCTTCATGCTCTTACCCGTTCCCCTCCCCTTTCTCTCATTCCCTCTCCGTCCTTCTCTCACCATGTTACCTCCTCACTCTCCCTTGCACCTCTCCCCTTTTCCGTCTCCGTCTTCCTCCCTATCCCCTCCACTTTTTTCTCACCTTTCTCCCTTTCTGGACACTCTCCTTCTTATATTCCTCTTCCTTCCCTCGCTTTCTCCCTTTCCACTCATCTTTCCCCCTATTCAGCTCTCATCTCCTTCCTTTCTCATTCTCCTCTCTCTTTCTCTCCCCCCCCCCCCCATTTTCTTTCATCTACCTCGCTTTGTGTTTTTTTTTAACGTTATAATGTATAGCATATCTCATTCCTTTTCTACCTATCAGTGCGCATGCGTGTTGCTGATGGTGATATATTTTCATCCTGAGGATACATACACGGAGTCACGTGCCAATGGAATTCAGGGACTACTTTTCTTCATGTCTTCCTTCTTCATCATCTTCAACTCGCTCCTCATTCTTTCCGTAAGTCATTTCTAAAAAAAAAAAATTAATTGTTTTATTTAAAACAAATACAATGTTCATATTTAGTTTATGACAGCATCTTTAAAAAGGCCCTGTTAGGACATTCTAACATTGCAAATCAGACAGAGCATGGGATGTCATCAGGAGTGGATATTAAAGGACACCGGGAGCAACCCCGGTCAAATTCAATTTATTATTTATTTTATTTTGTTTTCAGCAGAGAATGATCAGAATGACTTGTGCCCCCCCCCCCCGGAATCCTGGATCTACCACTGATGAGGAGGGGAGGGAGGGGATGAGCCCTTCATTTTCAGACTAGATTGTCAAGTAGATGTCATGTTCTTGTATCCCACACACCCAGTTCTAAAAAGGCCAATGTCCCGAGTTTATAGTTCGTCCCAATTTATGGCTCATTTGTAGTCATTACAAAAAGTCACTACAAAGAGTCATTAATTAGGTATGACTAGCCAAGATATTTTACCAATAAAACAAACATGCCCACATGGTTCATGTATTTGACTCATTTGTATATAATATGCAGTGTATGTGATCACTTCTAAGCTACTAATCACATTGAATTCTGGACTGTTCCTCCACTGGTGCTTTAAAACTTAGTCACACCGACAAAACCGATACCAAACCGAACAATAAAATTATATTGCCTCCAATGGCAAAGAATAAATAGTCAGTTTGCATTAGGGGTGAAGTCGGTATGGAGTCGGGGTGGAGTTGGGTTGGAGTCGGTATGGAGACGTGGTGGAGTCGGGGTGGAGTCGGGTTGAAGTTGGGGTGGAGTAGGGGTGGAGTCAGGGTGGAGTCGGGGTGGAGCAGGGGTGGAGTCAGGTGCAGTCAGGTGGAGTCGGTATGGAGTCGGGGTGAAGTCGGTGTGGAGTCGAGGAGGAGTCAGGGTGGAGTCGGGGTGGAGTCAGGTGGATTCGTAATGGAGTCGGGGTGGAGTCGGGGTGGAGTCGGAGTGGAGTTTGGGTGGAGACGGGGCAGAATCGGCTTATCCTTGTGACTTGAGTACTATACTATGATGCTGTTTTATGATCTAATCTAGGTATTATTCTCATGTGTTTTAGAATGTCATACTTTTAGTTTGTACCGCCCATTTTCCTGGTAGGTTTTACCCGGAGATCTCCCTCTGGTTGTTCGAGAGTATCGGGACGGACTTTACCATCTAAGCTCCTATTACATTACCGCCTTCCTCGTCCAGGTAAAGTATCGTACTTTTTATGAAGCACCACATTCACAAATTCATAATATTGAATAGTTATTATTATTCGGAGTATGCATGGGAATGGAAAAAATCTTTTGCACAAAGATGACAAATGAGAACAGAAGTCAGATTTATTAATTATTTTCCAAGTGGCTGCCTTGGAAAAAACAAGGGGTGATATGTGATTATACTGCATCCGGGTCACCATAAATTTTTATAAACACAGCATGATCAGGAAACAGAATAAGAGATTGGTTTTCATAGGGATTTGGAAACCATATCTCCCCCCCCCCCCTCCCCCCTCTGCCGAAAAAAGAAGGGGAAATGGAGGAAGAACGGTATAACAATTTCCCCGTACTTTTGTTGTTGTTGTGTTGTTGTTGTTTTGATGTTGTTGTTATTGTTATTATGTTGGTTTGTTTTTTTGTTTTTTGTTGTTGATACTTTATAGAAAGATATTTATCGTACACATGTATTTCAAATTCTATTCTAATTACCAGAGTATTATAGGATCGTGCTTCATGATCGCATCGACGCTCGCTGTCTACTTCGTCGTCGGTCTAAAGAAAGACCCTCAAACGTTCTTCATCGCTACGGGTATCCTCATCATCATCTTCCTCATCAACGTCGGTTTTGGTAAGAACTTTGTAGCAACTACAAATATCTGTACATGCTGGTATTGAATTTGCCTGAGAAAAATAAAATACATATCCTGAAAAAACTACCAGACGTAAAACTTGTTTTAGCCCGCACTCCGCAGACATGCAAGTATATTTAAAAATAAAACTTGTTGTACAAGATGTGTACACAGGATTCACACTTTATTTTGTGGTATCAAGAAGTTACTTCTTGGTAGTATATTATGATATATCATTCATTGTTGACGCTTTTAGTGACGTACATTTTCTCTTATAAACTTATTTGGAAAGAAAATACTTATTTGGAAAGAAAATAGTTATTTGGAAAGAAAATACTTATTTGGAAAGAAAATACTTATTTGGAAGAAAAAAATACTTATTAGGAAAGAAAATAGCCGAGGCAAATATAACTGACAGCCCCATAGGACCGACATCAAAGCAACACCGACAATTTCGGAATATAAAAGAGGGCCAATATCAAATCAAACGGCACGCTAAATCAAAATGTCGATCAATTTGCGCGTCGGTCTCGCGAAACCTTGCATAACTGTTATTAACTATATCCTTTATGCGATTTTCTTCCTCTTGTTCCGCCCCTCCCCCTATTCATCACAGCTGCTCTAGCTTCAGCGATCTATGAAACGGCTGGGAAGACAATGTCGCAAGCTATTCCTCTCGTCTTCATATCAAACGTTCTAGGCGGTTATTTCTGTCTCTTAGGGTAAGTCATGAACTCTTAAATAATCATCCTTTTTACTACTTATTTTCGCTCTCGTACTAGGCCTATGTTATCAAATTAGCTGAAAAATCCAGCCATCAAAAAATAGAATATATGTTTACTTGAATGGATTGAAATTGAAATTGAAACATATTTGTTCGATATGTAGCCGAAGAACAGAGTCATTATATTGAATAAAACCAACGAACTAACCAACCGGCTAGTTACTAGAAATGCAAATGAAAACCGATGGAAAAAAGCGGCGATGAAGAAATTTGAAAAAACTGCCATTGAAGACTTGATTACGACGTTGCCACCACATTGAATTGTATTTAATTCATCTTTCTTTGTTGGTTTTGATACTTAGGTCTATTCCACGTTATCTGGACCCCCTGATGTACATCAATTGGCTGCCATGGGGTTACGAGATGCTATCCATTAACCAATGGCGAGGCATTGAACTTGGTAAGAATCTGCATCTCCGTTAATAACCTCTACAATACTTTATACCCCGGGATCATGACTACCCCGCAGACAAATGCCCTTGTCTGCGGGGTAAATAGGCCTACCACTGGACAACTACCTTTTAATGTTAAAGCCCCACTGTCCTAATTGTAGCTACTTGCTCCCTCTATATAGAAAACTTCCCCGATCGGTGCCTGTTGGTCCCCTATGTTACTTGAGAGCTGAGTTAATGCGATAGCCATCTGTCAGTGACCTAGCTGTGTGGTCTAATCCCTTCTGGCCCAGTAGTATTGACGGTCTTTAAGACCCCTATAATGTAGTCGATTATTAGGTGTTTTTTTTTAAAGACATAGTTTTCCAAGGGGTAGTTGTTTGGGATGATTATTTTGTTGGGGGGGGGGGTCATTCTCGGAGGGATTGATAAGCTTTGTCCACCCCCCCCCCCCCCCCCACATGAAGGGCGGCTTAACTTAAAGCAGGATGTAACCCTCCACCCCCAGCCGCAGCGTTTATCTTGCAAAAAAAAAGAGATCCCCTAAACTGTTAGTGGTGAACCACCCTCTCATTTATCTATCCTTTTGGAGAAGAAAAAACAATAATTTCAATCCAATAGGATGAAAATAGAACTGTTAAAGGTAAAACAAAGTTTTGGGAAATTTTGAAAATTGGGTGGATAGTGAATCTTTACAATTTTGATATATCTGGATGCCCCTGTGGATGTATTATAAGCACTAAAAAAATTAACCCCTAAAGCACTTCTGTTTTCGAGAAAATTAAATATAAACATTTACCGGTGCTCCCGGTAAATTTTGATAAATTTCAAATAGCGCCTACGGCCGTACAATTGTAGCTGCGACCATGAAAATCTCAGAATATGTAGTTGTGATATATAATTTTCAAACGGGAATAGCTAATCGGTCGATTTTAGTCAATAAACATTTTTTTTTTTTTTCAATGATATTTTATTTTCTCCATTGCTTTTCACAAACAATAACAAAAATTATAATAACAAACAATAACAAAATCAATACATAAAATAATCTCCATGTTAATATTATTATATAGAATATGATTTTACATTCACAGCTAAATAATACAAAAGAACTTTTACTATTTACATCAAATAAAGCATGAAACATGCATGCATGAAGAAGGCATGAACATAAAAAGGCATTAAAAAAATATTTTTTTTAAAAACAAAATATTATATACCGATCACAGTAACGTTTAAACACAAGATGGCGCTATAATATTTGTTGGATATGGGCAACTTTCCCATTAATCGAAATATGTTTAAAAGAATCAAAACAATTTAAAAAAAAATTAAAACAAAAAAAAAATGGCACAGCTCATGTGCTTTTTTTTCTGCTTGATAAGTAATTGAGAAACTTTTTTGCCAATCGATCTTTAGGGGAAAATATAACAAAACTCAACTAGTTTATTGTGCCAGTTACTCATGATAAAGTGAAGTTGATATAAATTACTATTTGCCTCATATTTTGTCCATGTAATCTCTTTTTTTTCATGGGATGCATTATGGACAACTCAAATGAATATGAAATACAAACTCATGTGATCACAAGTTTATTCAATATAGACTAAATGTGAACCTATATAATTCATGTATACACGGTATAAACATTACATACAATATACTACGTAATAACTAAACTAAACTTTGAAAACTTATAAGTTGCATCGGTTTGCGACATTAAAATATTGTAACAGAAAAGACCAATGGCAATGAGTGTTGAAGATATTCCTATAATGTTTTAAACAAAGGATGGCGCTAGACCACATTTGACAAGTTGTTTTTTTTCTTTTTTTCCCCTCAATAATATTTCATTTTCTCCATTGCTTTTCACAAACAATAAAAAAATCATTACATAAAATAATCTGCATGTTAATATTATTATATAGAATATGATTTTACATTCACATCTAAATAATACAAATGAACTTTTACTATTTACATCAAATAAAGCATGAAACATGCATGCATGAAGAAGGCATGAACATAAAAAGACATAAAAATACTTACATACACACATACACACACGTGTACAGACACCCACACAAACACCCACTTAAAACATGCCTACATTGTGTGGGAATCTCGACCATTATATCAGCCATGTCCATTTCATTGCTTCTATTCGCCTTCCTTATGTTATTTATTCTGCACGAAGCTATTCTAAATTGTCCCACTTTCTAAAAATGATATGTGAGTGTACCTCGGTGCCAGGTAAAAATGTCAGAGGTAAAAATGTCAGAGGAAAAAATGTCAGAGGTAAAAATGTCAGAGGTAAAAATGTCAGAGGTAAAAATGTCAGAGGTAAAAATGTCAGAGGTAAAAATGTCAGAGGTAAAAATGTCAGAGGTAAAAATGCCGTCATAATATCTCAGCACTTTTATCACACATAATGTCGAGACGTACAGCTACTGCATGGGCTAGTCTATTATATTCCTTTCTTCCATAATGTAAATTTTATAAATGGCTGTGTGTTGTATTTCGTACATGTCCTGAGGATAATACAATGTGGAAAATAGATTTTGAAATTTATTTTTTGGTGATCAGGCTTGCATATATATTATGTATGAATGTCTAACATTTTTTTATATTTTGAATTGGTTGATGTGTTAATGTTTGTGAAACGGACCGGTTTGGCCGGTGGCAGCCTACAACCTAGCCCGTGTAACGTTCCAGAGACGAACAAAGTCCAAACGAAGAAATGAAAGTTCTCGACAAAAGTCAAGTGTTAAAGTGAGTAGTGCATTTAGTACAAATAATTACATATAATCACGAGGAATCACGAAAAGTGACTTATATAGGCTGGGTGCCCCGAACTCTGCTAAAGCTTTAGCACCTCATGGCGGCAAAGGAAGTGGAGTAAGAATGAGAAAAAACAAGAAGTCGCCCGAAAAGTGAAAACTCGCTCCGAAAACTAAAAACCCGCTTCAAAAAGAAAAAGACCGTCTCGATTCAGAAGCTCATCCCCATTTTAAACCCTCCGACACGTGTGACCCCTTATAAGGGCGTGTCACTACGACGCATTGCGTCAAAATAATCCCCGGCACCATACACACCCATGTCGAAAGGAACTTTCTTAATTTTGCGAACTTAACCTCCAGAGTTGAGCTTTCCGGCCCGCAATACTCATCGGCCTCGTAACTTACATAAATCTCACATTTGTGCTCTTTCGATCTTTAACTCTTTCATTCGACATCTTTATTAAATCCGAAGAACGCAAACGGGCCGGAAATATAACAATCCTGGAGGCAATTATTTGAATGATAATCGGAGCATGCATTACGAACTCGCACATAAACATTCTGAACTAGGGCACAACAGTCCTAAAGTAACGATGAACCTTAACAACAAGCTACCCCCCCCCCCCCCTCAAAAAAGAAAGTTGTTTACTCCATTAACTATTCCGTTGATATCCAATGTACACCCCTCTTTCTTGTTTCCCTTTTGCCAATATTGTTTCCTCCACATTTGTGTTATTATGTATTCATTGAGGGTAGTCATGCTATCAAGCTATGCTTACTTTGTCAACCCTCCTGGTTGAGGTTTTCGACTAGTTACAGCCAGCCTTACTATACTGTAGGCCCCCCCCCCTTGTTCCGCCTCTGCTCTTTTGTCACGTGTTAAATTTGCAATGATTTGTTTGTTATAATGTTTGTAAAACTGCAAGAGAAAAAGAAAATCGCATAGACCAATATTTCAACTTAACATACCAATACTGACAAGGTCATAGCACCTTACCGGTACCTACAAGCGGGCCCAATTTTGGAGAGGGGGCAGGCTCGTGTCATGTATGTTGTCCGATATCACATCCGCCTTTTTTTTTAATTTATGCCTTTTTCCCTACCGCGCGAAGCGCGGAAGCTTTGACATTTCATTAAATAGAGAAAGAAGACGATTCATTGTACCGTTCCGACTCCTAGTTCATGTTTCGCCCCTCCCGCGCGAAGCGCGGAAGTTTTGACGTTTCATTACATCATTAGAGAAAGAAGACAATTCGTTGTACCGTTCTCTACTCTAAATCCTTGTCTGATTTCAGTTTCATTAAAAAATCACTGAATTTTCAAAAATGTTTCTCTGTCTCATCGAGCAAAAACTATCGACACTGCGGATCCGACACAGCAACATAATTAACATGCGTATCTTTCTTGCTCCCTCGACGTGGCGACTCCACCCAACATCCCCCTCTCTCTCTCAAACTCCCACCCCTCTTCCCTCAGGCCCTTACCTACATCTCTCTCTCCTCTCTTTCATTCTCGTTTCTTTTTTCTCTCTTTTCTTCTTTTTTTTCTTCCTTTTCTCCTTTTCTTTCTTTTCTTTCTTTTCCTTTTCCATTCCCTTTTCTTTCTCATTTTCCAGTTTTCTCTTTCTTTCTTCTCTTCTCTTTCCTTTCTTTTCCTTTTCTTGTTTTCTTTTCTTTGCCTTTCCCCCTTCTTTTTCCCCTCCCCTCCGCTCACTTTTCCCGACAGCTGCACAATTTTACCGACAATATCCTGACAGGTGGGGGTGTCGCACCCCACCCCCCCCCCCTTAGCAACGCCTTTGAGTGCAGGGTCTGTTTCAAACGTTTAACTTCGAATCCGCGGCTCAGGATTTAATGTGGCCTGCCCCCTCTATTCAATAACCCCCCCCCCCCCCCACACTCCAATAACGTCTCCCAAGCCTTCTGGAATAACCCCCGATCTCCCGATTACAATTCTGCTCCTCTTTGTAGGGCCGGGCGGGGCTTCATCATGAGTGCTTTTACATGAACCTTTTTAAAATAAATAATAATTATGCTGGATTTCGACCCGGATTGCAAAGACTAAAATGATAGGGTGATCATCCCCAGTATACGCTTGCAGTTCACAGTCATGTGCACCCCCTTCCTCCTTATTTCCTTATCCACCGTTACCGTCAATGTCATTTACATAATTATGGCCGGCCCCCTCCTCAATAACGGCCCCAAGCCTTCGGGAATGACCCCCAAAAT